ATCTGGCAATAGCTGGCACACAGTGATATTAGATAAACTTTTGCCTATACTTAGAATAGGAAATAACTAGAATAATTATCTGATATGTGGTAGCAAATGGTGACTTTTAAAGACAATGGTAAAGGTGCCATTCAATGCAGGATGATTATTTCTCACACACAAACTTACATGTCCCATGAATTTTTAGCCACACATCAGCATCCACTCCACCCCTCCTGCAGACACAGGCACCACAAAATCTGATATTGTTCAAATTAAAATGTTCCTGACATATTTGTCCTTTTCCTAATTTTAACTATTTAGTAATCCCATTCTGTCTCTGTCAAATCTGATACCAAAGTAGCATATTAGATAAAAAAGAGTAGCTAGAGACTCCAGTAAAGGATTATATGAACAGCGCAACTGAATGGAGCATCCAAGGAAAAAAATTAGTGGGTGTTTAGCACCCACCAGCAGGCAGCTTCTCCCCTCCACCCCAGCGCTTCCCGCCTGCCGGCAGCCCGGCCTATCAACTCCTCCCCCTCAGCTGCAGCATGCAGGAGCAGTTGGGGGGAGGGGGAGGAGCAGGGATGGGGCGTGCTCAGGGGAGGGGACGGAACTGGGTAGGAAGAGGAGGGGTGATGATGGGGATATGGGGAAGGAGTGGGGGGGGCAGGAACTGTGGTGGAGCGAGGGTTGAGCAGCCCTGGGGTAAGGAGGAAGCCGGCACCTGTGGCGGGGCAGTTTGGAAGAGCTGTGATTGTGATATGAGGAAATTTGGTGATTAGTTTGAGAAGCATCATAGAGCTGTGATTGTGCTATGAGGAGATCTAGGGCTGAGTCCCGTTTCCTCTCCCCTCCACCCCATGTGTATGATCAAAGGAAAGAGATTTGTACGTATCTGAGTTTCCAGAGTGCATAATTTCACTACCGAATTGTGTAGCATGTGCAAGTAACAGTGCACTGGGGTTTTATTGCCAGGGGTATTATAAATGGTGAGGGGGGGATCTGAGCATAGGTGCTGGGGGTGCTGCCATACCCCCTGGTTTGAAGCAGTTTCCATCATATACGGAGTTTACCGTTTGGATCAATGGCTCTCAGCATCCCAACTATAAAAATAGTTCCAGCACCCCCGGATATGAGTGCAGTCTGTGGATTTAATGTTGGCTAGAGGAAAGTATGAGTTTAGGTGGTATCATGTTCAGGGGTTCTCAAACTGTGGGTACGGACCCCAAAGTGGGTTGTGACCACCTTTGAATGGGGTTACTAGGGCTGGCTTAGACTTGCTGGGGCCCGGGGCTGAAGCCCGAGCTCCACTGCCCAGGGCCGAAGCCAAAGCCCGAGGGCTTCAGCCCTGGGCGGCACAGCTCAGGTTCCAGGCCCTGTGACTAGAGGCTGAAGCCCTTGAGCTTCAGCTTTGGTCCCCCCTGCCTGAAGCGGTGGGGCTTGTGCTTTATTACTCCCCCCTTCCCCGCCCCCCAGGCAGTGGGGCTTGGGCAGACTCAGGTTTTGGTCCCCCCTCCTGGGGTCATGAAGTAATTTTTGTTGTCAGAAGAGTGTCACGGTACAATGAAGTTTGAGAACCCCTGTCCTATGTGGAAGTGTAAAGGGCTTGTAAATAGGTCTGAAGTGATTATTAAATTTTCCAAGTGTGGTATTCTGTTGGGGCAGTAGGCTCAGTGTTAGAGCGTAGGGGAAGCATAGGTGGCACCTCACCATTTTAGTGAAAGGGCGGAGTGGGATTGTGTATGTTCTGGGTGTATTGGGGCATCATTCAAAGAGGGCAGAGTTAAGATTGTGTGGGCATTTACCTGAAACTCTGTATTTCCTGGTTTTCAGAAGTTTGAGTTTTGTGACCCCGACATTCTGGAAGGGCACAAGCTATCACCAGGCAACCTTAACTCTGTGGTAACAAGCTTTGTGCCATTTAATTTCCTAATTACTTAAGCAGGGAAATGTTTGTTGTTAGCAGTTGGTGTTCATTTAGTCAGTTGTAATCCTCGCCCAGGTTTTCAGCTGATGTGCTGCTGTGGTTAGGTAATAATTAAAAGAACTAGCTTTTATATAGTGTTTTTCATTAGCTAGATCTCAAATAACGTTACATCATCATCCCCACTGTACAAAGGGGAAACCGAGGCATGGAGAGGTTAAGTGATTTCCCCAAGGCCACCCAGGATGCCAGTGGCACAGCTAGGAATAGTCCCAGTCCAGTAGTCTTTCCACTAGGGCACATGATTGCTTATAGAATTTCCTCTGTGCCCCTCCCTCCTCCTGTACATTTTGTAATAGTGGAGTAGAGGTCATGGTTGTCCTTTGATATGTTTGCAATGTGTAATTGCTTTCGGGGCTGGTGAGGGACATTTCATCCATGGTCTGTGTCCCACGCTCTTGGCAGTTGTATAGTACGGCAGTTACAGTAACTTTCAGCAGGCGAGAGAAGACTGGTATGTCTTTCTCCTTCTCCATTCTCTGCCACATGTAGCGCCACCCTCCCCACCCCGCCAACATTTCCAGCTCCCCCTCCCTTCCCATTAAGCCATTAGTTGGCACTAATGGAAAAGCCATTAACATCTAAGTTGCTCCTTGTTGTCTCCTGTCCCATGCAGCTGCATACACATATCCAGGCAGCAGTTTCCTGGAGGCCTGCACACTACCTTAGTTGTGTAGCGTGAGATGCACGCTTAGCACAGACCTTCACTCCCAGCACTAACTATCCTCCAGCTGGGACTCCTGCCCCCCGCTTTAGCCAGGCTTCCCCAGCCATGCCTCAGGTCCACGCAGTCTGCCCCTCCTCCAAACTGGGCCTCTCCCGCAAACCCCTGGCCAGCCCCTGATCCCAACCCCGCACAGGGATGATATATAGCTACACCTCTACCCCGATATAACGCGACCCGATATAACACGAATTCGGATATAACGCGGTAAAGCAGTACTCCAGGAGGGCGGGGCTGTGCACTCTGGTGGATTAAAGCAAGTTCGATATAACGCGGTTTCACCTATAACGCGATAAGATTTTTTGGCTCCCGAGGACAGCGTTATATCAAGGTAGAGATATATTCATTTTCCCAATTTCAGATGTGTAAATTTGCATGACCTTCAGTCTCCCAACCTCAGATCCCAGCTCACATGGAGGGGTAGGGAGAGGGGCTTAGACACTGCCTGAGGAGCAGGGTTCTCCAGAGCACACAGTGGGCTGGGAGAGAAACTGAGACCCCTACAGATCCCAGCACGCAGACCCCTAAACTTCTCTGCTATCCTATATACTCTCCAATCCCCTCCCATCCTCTCCTCTGCCACTCCCCCTAAACCCTCCCTCTTATTTGAGTCCCCCAGCCCCTCTTCCCTTCCCTAGCGCCCATTCCCATTTATCCCCGACTCCATAATATTTTTCATCCCTTGCTGCAGACCCAAGCCTCTCTTCCCCTATTACCTCCTACTCTTGCACCCCAATCACTCCTCCCATCCCAGTGCTTTCTGCATATTCTGCTGTACTCAGATTACATTAACCAAAATGAATAATAAATACATAAAAACCTTGAGAGAGGCAGATTTCCCCCAAATGTTTACAGTTCATTCTCAGATTTCTTCCCAGAGTGGGTTCACACTTCATGGTTGCAGATTTTGAGAGATGTTAAGTGGCCTATTCATCTCAATAAGATTCATCTCTGAAAAAGAGTACCCGATGGAGATGAATACAGCCTGAAACAATAGCTATGTGATGTGTGAACTGCCACGGCATACACCCAGCAGGGAAACGTGGAGCTGACAGGTGCCCCTGCCCATATTCTACCCCAGTTCCCATCATTCACCCCCATCTCCTTTCCCAGTGTCCTACCCCACCTGCTAGCCCTCATCATCCCTGATCCCCCAAACCCTCTCCTCCTATTCCCACCTACTCTTCCTCTCCTAATCACACTCCCCTCCCAGCAAACATTTGCTTGTGTAATTTATTTTCTTTTAGAAAGAATAATTTCAGCACCTTCAGCTGTACTCATATTGCATTTCCCCCCCTGGACAGAAGCAGATTGGAGTAATATCCCTGCTTCTTTTTTAGTTTGTATCTAAAAAACAACAAGGAGTCTGGTGGCACCTTAAAGACTAACAGATTTATTTGGGCATAAGCTTTCATGGGTAAAAACCTCACTTCTTCTGATGCATCCGAAGAAGTGAGGTTTTACCCACGAAAGCTTATGCCCAAATAAATCTGTTAATCTTTAAGGTGCCACCAGACTCCTTGTTGATTTTGCTTCTCTTTTTGGTTTGTTTGATTTAAGATTTCTGCTCTAGGTAGGATTTGAACTCTCAATACCTGGGGTGATGCTCAGATTCAGTGACTGTGCCATGCCCTCAGAGTGACTCAGGTCCTATGCTGAAAATATAGTTTTCCAGATAGCTGGCCAGTCTCTCTGCACATGCTCAGTATATTTCAATGGGTGTGATATTAAGAATGTGAGATTTACAACAAGCCTAACTAGAGAAGCACAATCTTTTTGAAATAATGTTTTGATTTTCCTTCCAAGGGCTGGTAGATGCCATGAGATCTGTTGGGGTAATTTTGACTCTGGTGCAGTGATCTGAGCCCTGGGTTGCCAGAATCACTCAGCTTTAAGGAAGGGGGTTGGGACTGTATTTCACTAGTCCTTTGGTCAAATGTTCCCAGCTTTGGATCACTAATAAAACCTTAAACCACCCAAATTTTAAGGCAATCTGAGTAACCATGTAGATTTCAGAGCACTCAGACGAGCTGAGATTTAGACAGAAACCTTTAGTCTGAACCTTAATTATAGTAGAGCTGTTGCTCTGTTATAATTATTTCAGCATTGAACTATCTCATTTATCTTTGTAGGAAGACAAATTGCAGCCTGGTATCACCTTTGATTGATCTGAATATTGCTCTAATTGATTTTACTTTTTAGTAGAATGGGATTTCCTATGTCTGATCTCAAAAACAAATTCCATTCTTTTTGTGCCAATAGTAATTGAAGTTTTCTCATGTCATCACTATTTTTTTCTCTTTCTAGGTGATGTCATTGTCTATATTAATGAAGTTTGTGTCCTTGGGCATACTCACGCAGATGTAGTCAAACTCTTCCAGTCAGTTCCTATTGGTCAGAGTGTCAACCTGGTGCTATGTCGTGGATACCCTTTGCCCTTTGATCCTGAAGATCCTGCCAACAGCATGGTGCCACCACTTGCAGTAATGGAGAGGCCTCCGGTAGTGGTAAATGGAAGACATAACTATGAAACTTATTTGGAATACATTTCTAGGACCTCTCAATCTGTTCCAGATGTAACAGATCGACCACCACATCCCTTGCACTCCATTCCAGCAGATAGTCAGCTTGATAGCACATTCCCACCACCTGTTCATGATGATAATGTATCAATGGCTTCTTCTGGGGCCACCCAAGCTGAACTCATGACCTTAACCATTGTGAAAGGGGCCCAGGGCTTTGGCTTCACTATAGCAGACAGTCCTACAGGACAGAGGGTGAAGCAAATTCTAGACATTCAGGGATGTCCTGGTTTGTGTGAAGGTGACCTCATTGTTGAGATCAACCAGCAGAATGTACAGAACCTGAGCCATGCAGAAGTAGTGGATATACTTAAAGAATATCCTGATGGAAGTGTAACTTCTTTGATTATCCATAGAGGAGGTAAGTCTAGAAAGTCTGTACAATTACAAAAATGTATGTGAACAGTTCTAAACAATGGGAACTACTTATCCTTGTGTACTGGATTGGAAATGGTTTGTTCTGGGAGGAAATATCATTTATTCTGAAAAAATGTGTATATATAATAAGTACTGTAGGCAAAATGTAACCATTTATTGTACATCCTTTTCTGTGTTTTGAAGCTCTAAGCATACGTCAAAATCTCCCTCTCTGTATAAGTGTAACACACTCTCCAAGGCATCCCAGGCCTTTTTAGCATTTAATAGTTTGCATGATGGTTGCCTGCAAGTTCTTAGGGTATGTCTACACTGCAATAAGACATTCACCGCTGGCCCATGTCTGCCAACTTGGGCTTGCGGGGCTCGGGTTGCAGGGTTATAAAATTGCAGTGTAGACTTTCGGGCTCAGGCTGGAATGTCTACACTGCAATTTTATAGTTCTATAGCCCAAGCCCCGCGAGCCCAAGTCAGCTGACATGGGCTAGCCATATGGTGACCAGATAGCAAGTGTAAAAAATCAGGACGGGGGTGGGGAATAATAGGTGCCTGTATAAGAAAAAGCCCCCAAAATCGGGACTGTCCCTATAAAATTGGGACAGCTGGTCACCCTAGCTAGCCGTGGGTGTTTATTACAGTGTAGACATACCCTAAGAGTCCCAACCCATAGCACTACAAGGTTTAAGTATAACCCAGATGTGTTAGTTAAATAAAGGAGATCAAAATCAGAACAAATGTGAATTTATCAAAACTTAAAGCTACACTGTCAAGTTTGCTAGGCCATTTGACCTACATTTTTCCTCCTTTGAAAAACCGATGTACAATGGTTGCTTATTTTTGCCCCAAAACTAAAAAGTCAGTGTGTTTTGTGTCTATTTAAAAAATGGCTCCAAGCAGCTCCATGTTCATGAGCAACCCTATAATAATAAACCTGTGTATGTTCTGTTGGGGGAGAGAGGGTAGAATAAGGAAACAATAGTAAGAACCAATTATTTTTAATACCAGTGTGGTGACCTTTAATTTCTTTACTTTTAACATTTTAGTATAACAGATTTTTTTTCCTGATTTGTTAATCCTAATGATAAACATCCAATGGCTAATTTGTAAAGATGTAAACTGAAGACTAGGACTGGTTCCTTTAATTAAAGTACACCACTGGAAATGATAGCACTTACTCTAAATTAGTAATCCATATTCACTTGTCATTAGATGTACATTACTCTGCTGTAAAACAAATAGATTAACGAAAAATATATTTATCATTTCTTTTTTTAGAAGCAGGAGGATGAGAAGTGAAATAAGTATTAATGTATGCAAATGACAAAAGTGAACACAGTTAAAAAAAACCTTAGAATTAGAATTCCAAGACCTATAAAGCCTAGTGCAAATCATGCCAGAGAAACCTGATTATTTTTTCTCAAATCACCAAATTAATGGATGGAGAAAATTTAGGGAGATTTAAATATATGTAGGATTCAGCTAATCAGTTGCTACAGTATACCTCTCAAAATCATCTATGAAAAATTAATTGCCATTAGATTGAATATGACATGTATTGCATGGAATGAAAATTGACTGAAAGACTGAGCAAAAAGTAATGGTAAATAGCAATATATGAACTTGAAGGGAGCAAGTGATGACCAGGAGGTGCTATAGTCGTTGGATTTAGATCTGGTTTTATTGAGCATCACTATTAATAAACTGGAAGAGTCGGGGTAAACCACACATTGTTTTAAGTGGCAGATGATGATAAATGAGGATGTATTGGGTAGTGAGATATAGTATAAAGGGAACTAGAAAGGTTAGAATTACAACAAAAAAGGATTTAACCTGGAAAAAATGCAAGCTAACACTTCTTTGGGGGGAAATCCAAAATATACATCTTCAATGGAAGAAGAAAGTGGAATACAGTGATAGTGAACAGCAAATTAAGTATGAGCTTATAATGCAATGTAGTGGTTAAAACCTTCAAAGGCAATACACTGTGGCCCATAAAGGTGTTAGTCTTTCTCTCTCTGGAATTTCCTCTTAGGCCTGGCCTAAACTAAGCTGAAAATTGATCTAAATTACACTAGTTAAGTAACATAATCCAATTTGACATATCTTAGATCAACTTATAACAGTATCTACACTATGCTATATCAACGGGAGATGCTCTCCCGTCGACATGGCTTCTGCCTCTTGTTGAGGTGGATTACAGACATCGACGGGAGAGTGCTCTCCCATCGACTTAGCACGTCTTCACCATACCCACTAAATCGGTGCCACTGCATTAATGGCGGTGGTGGCTATTTATCATGGCCATGAAGACTTGCCCTTAATCATTGCTTTGACAAGCATTCATGCTACCCATCTTTTCTTCTGTCTATCAAGAGCTTGGCAAAGCAATGATGTAGAAGAGGACAACTGTCTACAAGTACTAGAACGTGAACAGTAATGAACACCAAGGAGGGATAGGAGTTTTCAGCATAGTACCAGAGATATAAGTAGGAGTCATGGGTCAAAATAAAACAAATGAATATTTAGGTTGAATGTCGGGAAATACTTCCTCGTGCACGTTCATTAAACTCTCAAAAAGTCTCATAGAGGAAATGGTGGTGTCCGCTATTGTTCTGAGTCATCCAAAGCAAAATTGGACAAAGCAATGGAGTAATTTAATTTAGGGAACAGTCTTCTAGCAGGAGGATTATAAAATGTTATAATCTAACAGAAATGAGAGAGAAAGTTTCTTGAATAAAAATCTGTCTTTCCGCCTCTTTGTTATCCCAATATGAACAGAGAAAGAGATTTTATGACCAATTCAGATAAGATAACCTTAATATGAAACACAGCCCTAGAAATATTTATCTAAACCTGCTATGATTCTAAAATATTTCATCTATGACATCGATGAAAACAAGGCACACGTCTTCATTACTTTTTGTATGCCATCTTTATTTTTTGATTTGGGTGCATGATGACAGTTGAAATGTAGCCTCATTTTACTTCATTGCTCTATGCATCATGTCTTTAGCTTCTCATTTTGCAAAGACTAAGCACACTATTCCTATTTACATTATTTCCTGGAGGACAGAAGTTGTGTGATGCATACACCTATTGGGGGCCTTATCAGTTATTCATGCATGCTGATGATATGATGCAATGGGACATGTTCAATTTCAGAAGCGACCTGTCTCTCACTCTCTGGTCAAAAAAATCTTATCCTTATTCTTATGTGAAAAGGGTGGACATTGCTTCACAGATATATTCACTACAGGCATCTTCTGGTGGGTCATTCTATGGCATTGGCAAAAGCCCTTTGCCCTCAAGCTTAGAAGATCAGTAGCATGGCCATTTAACAAAAATAATTAAGTGGGGAGGAGAAATGGGACTTCCTTTGGACCAAAAGTGAGGGGATATGAAACAAGTCAAAAAGAAGCTAGTGTTTTCCCAAGTGGAGAGGAGGAAGAACTCCTGATTTTCCTGTGTGTTCACCTTATAACTTCTAAAGCAGCATTAGTAATTCATCTGTTTGTCTGATATTGTCATTTCACAGGTTGGCTACATCTCTAGAGAAAATGAGATAGATCTACCCCTGATTTTTTCCCGTAATACTAACAGGTGGCCAGGTCAGCACAAGCCCACACCAGCTAATCTAAGGAAGTGTTGTGGTGCTCAGGGAACACAGAACTTTTTATCAAGTACAGTAGGCAGCCCAGCTGAGCTCCTTCCTGCAGTTAAAGCTCCTCTGTTCTTACCTCCTTGCCAACCAGTTCAGCTCTAATTCTGGCTGGCCAATCTCCCAAATCCTTCCTACACCTACCTCAGAAGAGCAACCCCTCTCTTGTCTTGGGGCAGGGTATAGAAAGTCATCACCTGGCCCATTCCCTTGATGAGACATAAAAGAAGACTTGAGGTTGGGGGAGAGAATATTGAAGGTAAAAAGAAACAAAACTTGACTTGGAGAATTAAAATCATGGTCCCCATCTCCTTGCTGGAGGGTGAGGGAAAATTGGACGTCCCCTCTTCTGAGACAGAGAGGCAGCAGGTTTGTATATATATGTGTATAAAAGCATGGCAGAGTGAGTGGAGACAATGGAGGGTGGAGAGTGAGTAGGGGAGGGAGTGGGGGAGAGACTGGGGAAGGAGACAAAAGAGAAAGCAGTGAAAGCAATGACAGACAAAGAGGGAAAGACAGAGCAGAGGGATGTGGTGGAGAGAGAAAGAAAAATATTGAGAGACCATGACAAAGAAGGGAGAGAACACAGAGAAATAAAAGAGAGAATGAACTATTAACTCTGCAGAAAAGTTAGAATGAAGGAAAAGACACTGACAGGGCAAAAGATTTTTCCAGGATACATGAGAACAAAGAGTAGCTAAAAGGAAAAGCAGACAAGGAAAAGAAAGGAAGAACAAAAACTTGACAGAGTAAGTATTTTATTCATTCATAGATATTCTAATGCAAAAATACCAAAAATCTTGCCTGATTCTATTTCTCTATATAAACACCCATCTGGCAAATTGAGAGGAATCATGTTTTGTGGGCTGCACAAAAAATATTACCCATATTGCTTGCACCCACCCATCCAATTTTGCTCTGCCACCTTCCCTTCCGCATTCAGCTCACACCTCATGCTTCTCCTCTGTAGCAACCTGCATGGAACATGGAGAGAGGGAAGAGTTCAGAGGAGGCACCCAGAAGTCAGTATATGTGCACATGGATAGTATCTTAGCTTCAGCTCAAGCATCTGTGTAAACAGTTCTTAATAAAGTGCCAGCTTAGTTTTAAAAGTGCAAAGTCTTTTCATGATATTATCCAGTACACAGTACATGAAATATAGTGGCAGTGGTTAGAGTAATGAGACCTACAGAAAGGAAGAGAGTGTGATTAACAAGCAAACAAAGCAGTATTTGGAAACAGGTAGGAAGGAGGGACTGAGACCAACAGGAATGCTGATTTTCCAGGGAAAAAAAGCCTTGCACAAGCATGGAAGCAATGAAAGCAAG